AACTAAGTTGAATTATGAACACTCTGTGATGATCACAAAGTATCAACAATAGAACTTTAAATGTTTTATTTTCAAAAATCCGATTGATTTCTATTTTTCTTTGATTAACGAAAACTATTTTTCGCATGTATTATTGTGATGAAATTCTTAAAGAATTTAAAAAAACTTAAAAAGTTTATCTATTTAGTTTAATCCATTTATATTTGAACTAAAAAGATGTATTCCAGATATGGAACTGAAGAAGATTCTAGTAAGATTAGATATGAAATGAAATATCTTCATCAGTATGTTATCTTTTCTAATAAAAAAATTATTTCTGTAATATGTTTTCTTGTTTTTTTTCTTTGATCTATTTCTATTTTAATTTTCAATATCTAACAATAAAAAGGATATTTAAATGATCGCAATGATATCTCATAGAAAACCAGTGTAATTGCTTGAAGCAAAATTTGACGAATAATCATTGTGTGATTCTTATGTTATTAGAAGCAGCTGCGATGAGTTCATACAAGCGAATTCAATAGAGTCACGTAGATAATTATGCCGCGAAAATAACTGAACTCTTCATTCAAATAGATAATAGTCGATCTTTCAATGCCTGCATTAATGATGAAATGCATTAGCAGTGATAGGATCAAACGACATAGATTACAAGAAAAAAAAGATAGGATTCAAAGAAAAGCAAAATAAATCAGACTTATCACCTACAATAGCTTCTGCATATGTTTGTGATAGTGCTCGTACTTTGTTCACTTCTAACTTTTCATCTTCAGTGTAGAAAGGTTCTATTGTAGCTGGACTAATGGATGTTATTAGGTCTCCATAGTTTTTAAATTGCTACCTTTTTTCTTTTAAGACCATACTGCCACAATCTTATAAAAATGTTTAAGATAGACCGCTCTGCCCACACGACCTCCACCATTGATCATGGAGCCACAGGTCGTTTTTCCAAAGCAAACACAACCTATTGAGAACTACAAAATAGTGGTCAAACATGTACGAAAATACACTGCTCTCGAAACATTTCAATAGCCCCCCTCCCCCAATAATAGAAGCCCCTCCCATATTAGAAGCCTCCCCGTGTTTAGAAGCTCCCTCTGGAGGATTCGATATGCCAGATATATTAAAAGTCCCCCTTATTTACAAAACTTTTTCAGAGCTTTTTGGAAAATGTTTTTAGTATTTCCACAGCAAAACTTAAAATATTACAAAATTTTAAGGTAAAAATGCGTTAAATTCTTAGGCAACCGTCTTAAAATCTCAAAAACTCCTTCAAAACTCTCAAAAATCTGTAAAAAACCCTGAGAATTCTCTTAAGACTTTTGAAAAACTTTGGTACCTAAAACCTTCGAAAAATCATAGGACGTAATAGAAGCCCCCTCCAAAAAATTTTTATGCTGGACACTTTAGAAGCACTGGGGGGCTTCTAATATGGGGAGGGGTTTAGTTAGAATTAGAAGAAATAGGCAGATCCAAAGTGATAATTTGGTTTGCCAATCATATTCGCATGATTTTTCTAATGATCTAGTTTCGCTGTCAAGATAGAGAAGGCAGGTAGATAAAATGACAAAAATAACACAATAAGAGGGTGCGTTAAACACTATTCAGATTCGAAATTCTTCGTTATTCGATCCTAGAGCTCAGATTTACAGTACAGTATGAAATAGGGTGTGGATGCGAGAGTGGGTTATGGTTTTCTCTAAGCCGACACCCATATTCACACTCTGAATCGATGTTTTTGCTCTCTCGACTATTTTTCTTCTTTCAAAAAGCTTTGTAATCACAATACTATCTACATCCGTTCTGGTTAGCAGAGTAATGTGTTTATTAGTCAAATACTATGCCTAATAATTGAATGAGAAATGTTCGTGTAAATTGAGACTATCATTGTTAGAATTTTTCTTATCTTGATTTAAAAATAAAATAAGAATTTATACTTTTCTACAAGAGAAAAACAAACAAAAAAAAGACTAAAAACATAGATAATAATAATAGCTAATGAATAATCATCTTTGAAAGAGAAAAACAGCAGTGTTATGCACCTGAGAAGAGGAAGAGATAGATATTAGAAGAAGGGTTGTCCGCCCGTCTATATAACATATATATAGATGTCGATTCTAACAGTAATAATAGGGCAAAAACTATTATCATCGCCACAAAAACTGCTAAACAATATGTAATTATTTTTACTAACGACATAAAAATGATAATTGAAATTGCTCCTCAATCGAAGGCATTTTATTCGTAGTATTGGTTTTTTCACGTGACCGACCATAAAATAGTTGTTGACTATTATCCCAGTGTAGGTCAATTATTCGTTTACCATTTGTATGCAATAATGATTGATCCTAAACACAAAATCAATTTAAACTTGTTGAAACATATATAGATTCAAAATTGGGAGCACTACACGGAGAATAAAGGTTTCGAAAATTGAAAACAGTTTAAAACCCTTTTCAAGTTCTGTCTCGCACCATTTTTTTCCGGTGTAGAGAGGCATTCATTATGATTGAATTCAAATTCTCAAATATTATGAAATATCATAATTATTTTTGACTAAATGAGTTATGAATTGAAAAAATAGTTTACATTGTAACAGCACACCATTTTGATAGTCCAATTTTGTTGAGAAAATGAACCATTCAATGTGAATAAGCCCAAACCGTCTTCTCCAGAACCACTGAATGTTTTGGTTTTCGTATCAAAATGAAGCTCGCAATAATGTGGGTCGTGCCATTTGTCCTTTGAACCATGTAGATACCTCCAGAGACCGGATAGAAATATGTTTTCTTGATATTCTTGATTATTCATCTACAATAAGAGAATCGTACATTCGAAATGAAGATAATCTGGTTTATCGTTTTCTTACCGTCAAATCATCATCCGATGATTGCGAAGGTAAATAAAGTTTGGCATATTGATTGTTTTTCACAGAACTTACGTATTGTTGCAAATCTGTCAGATAATTTACTGGATTATGCTCATTAAGTTGCTCTGTCGGAGACCTCAATCTTAGTGTAATGCCCATATTTAGATCAACAACGTGTTGAGTGCATTCATTCTGAAGTTCTATAAATTGCAAAGAATAATTTTTGTTATTCCATAGTCGTTTGACACGACTAGTATTAGTAAAAGTAATAATGAATTTCAAACATTTCTTGAGAAAATTAACAAAATTTTTCAAAGCAATTTTTACTGAGTCCTTCAATACAATGTCGAACTTTTCCTCACGTAAAAATCCAATCAAGACATCAATACGTTCACACAGTCGTAGACATTGTTCGTGGTTGGTCTTGGTTCGTATAACTGTTTCACGAATTTCGTTTCCAAGCGTAAATATCACCTTGAAGGGTAGAGATACATTTTTACCAGCGATTTTAAACAGATCTATTGTGGGAACAGCGAGAGCTTCGGCAATCGTACTCATATTGTTCGAAAATATTGTTTTTGTTTTCTTTCAAGGTAAAATTCATGTACAAGTATTATTTATACGTGTCGTTGTAATTAAGAGGAAGCGCGATGTTTGGTTTTTTCCTGTTTAATGACTGTTACGTAATCATAATAATCATAGAAAACGAAATCATAAACTATGCGTCATTCATTTAGCTGCAAAAGATGAATAATAACATGCCATCTGTACACACAATCAAATATAGATATCTTGACTGTTGGAAAAAAGGAAAAAGCCTAGTGACGCTTGTTTACATCAAGTTACGCTTATTTTCTGTTACATTCACACTAATTAAACATATATAATTTACCTGTGTGTCAATACACGTTGGCAGATAGGTTGGAAGTTCGGAGAAATATAGAGAAATTATTTACATCTGGGGATTTTTTCATTTGAGAAATCAAATAAAGAAATGTGGGTGTGGGTGGGTGTGGGTGTCGGTGTGGGTGTGAGTGTAGGTGGGTGTGGGTGTAGTTCTGATCCAAACTCGCACCCACACCCATACCCGCACCCGCACCCACACCCACACCCACACCCCACACCCTCAAAAACTAACTTCAGATTTGAACTGCTCGACCCCGATTTTCCTTCGTCAACCTTTATATAAGATCGTCATTTTCTTAGAAAATTCTGCTTTTTCATGAAAACAAGCTTCCATCGATAACCGTACTTAGGGTTATCGTCATTGGATGGGTAGCCGTAGGCACGGTTATCGTCACCGTTGCATTGCTACATACAACGTTGAAAATAGCTCAATTGAAATAATCAATAAAATGTCGTCGGTTCTAAATATCTTTCAATAAAATCCACAATCAAGTTAAATTCTATTATTACACCGATTGAACAACATTGATGGAATTCCACGTAATATAGTTGGTTAATGATTATATGAAAACCATCAGGCGGGCGAAACTAAAATGAATACGTAAATAAATGCCATATTCATTTATTTACTAGGAGTTAATATTTAAGTAGTTACGTAGTACCTACCATCGTTACTAGTCACTAGTAACTAAGTAACTAAATAGTTACTAGTTACTAGTAACTAAGTAACTAAATAGTTACTAATTACTAGTAACTAAGTAACTACAGTAGTTACTTAGTTACTAGTAAAGTAAAGGTAAAGTCCCATCTCTACTACGTACACAAATTTGAAAAGCAGGGGGCGTTACATCTCACGAGCCACCCCCGTATTTACGCTCCTGCTCTTCTTCAGCTGTTTTAGCTGGCTTCACGACACGTCAAGTGCATTGACAAATATTCCAAACGACTTTTCAGCTGTTACTTTTACCTATTTCTGATTCGTTTGAATTCTTTTATTTATGTATAGAATCATATTTTCCTACTCTACACAGTTGAATAGTACTCTCATAAATCTGATTGAATGGACAATTTTGTACTTTTGACGAGATTCGATCGAATAATGTTTTTACATAGACAAATTACTGTTTCAAAAATCGTTTTCAATTTTCAAAACTTTGTTATTCGAACTGTTTTTTTTAAATTAAATTCCTGCATACATAATTTATTCACGCAGACGAAAAACAACTCAATATGTTCGTGGTTCAATTGTAATCTCTTCACATTTGACACACGAACTTGTCACGTTATTATTGGCACGTCGATAACCGTCTTTACATATACAACCAGACGAACATTGCAATGTCGGACATGGTTTACGATTTGGCGATTGACACGATGGTTGACATGGATTAGCACATTCACTTAGTTCTTCGTTTTCAGCACATTTAGGAGCAGCTGTTGTTACAACTAGAAACAAAAAAGAGAGTGCGATAGACCCATCTATTTTCCCGAGAAGTGATTACTCACCAGGACATTTCGATGCATCGATACAAGTCAAGCTATTTTGTTTATCACGCAGCAAACCTTTCTTTGCACACACATGGATATCGACTGCAAATGCGCGGACATGGCATTTCTTGTGGATTGTCACAAGTTGGTTGACATCTTAGAAGTGGAGCGCAATCAATCTGTATTTCTGTTGAACTGCACACAGCATCTGAACTTCTCTTTCGATGAGCTATAAAGAACAAGACAAAATCTCAGATATATTATTTTATATTTTTATTGCTTACCTTGAATGTCATTTACTGAAAATATCAATACTAAAATAAGAGCGAATAGTGTCGAAGAAATCATCGTCGATATAAGTTGATCGTAGTTCTGCTAAATATTTTGTTTGTTACCGGTTTTTTTATAGTTTCAACAAGAGAATAAAAAGGAAGATGTTTTACGCGTGATTGACGTGTTGTGTACGAAGTGGGATGCTTAAGAATGAAGAAAGGTAGTTGAAGAGTCATCATGCATCATTTACTATTGTGTGCGATATTTCATCGACCGGCGAATGATTCATTTAATCGACTATGAAAAAAAAGTTTCTATTCAAAATCTTGCATTACTAAGTAGTAAATACATTTATTCAAGAAGCAGTAATCTCAAAAGAAAAACAAGTCTATCGATGCAATAGAATATTCGAGAATTGAGTATTTATTTTATTTGTTGATGCATTCGATAATTCTGAAGTGTTATTCAAGGTATCGGATATTTATAATCAGAATAAATCCTATTTTGCTGAACGATAATAACAATTAATCATAAACGATTCGTTATCACACACCAATGATCTCTAAATCAAGATGTTTGACAAACTATTGAAAAACTCTTATAACTTGATTTTTATATTTCTCTTTCATTCATTTGTTATATTCTAATCTTCAAATAGAATTGAACTAATTGTTTTATATTAAAATTTTCTTCCTATCAAATTAGCAGAACATTGAAGATGAATCCGACCTTTGTTCTTTTGAACTAGAGACAGGATCAGAAGAACTATATTTCAATCTTGTTTGCAAACATTTCTTGTCATCAAAAAATATCATTGTACACTGATTAATCTTCAATTTATCACCAACAGATAGATTTCGAAAAAGAGATAGTTCTGAAAATTTCAAATTTCCAAAATGTTTTCCGTTTTATTGCTGTAGGATTTTTGCAATGAACGAAAATTGTTAGAAATCTGCACATATTTCAATTTTATCTAAGATTAAAATCGGTTTAAACAAGAACTATTACTGTAACTGATAGCGTAGGAAAAGAAAGACTGAATTTGTTTCGCTGATTTCATATTGTTAAATGTCTCATATTTCCAAAAGGAAATATTTTGGAAAATAATCGAAAAAATTCTCTAATTCGATATTAGTTCAACATCGAATTATCAGAATCGGAACTGAAAAAAGAAATTTTTCATATTGTCGTCTAGTCTCAGAAATTCACAGCACCAGTTTTTGTGGAACTCACATATATTTTCGAAGAAAATAGTGAGTGCAAGTTTTAAGTCGACGTTTTGGCGGCTCCCCCTCTCCTCCCCCTCTGCATTACAGACAGATTCCCATTACAGACAACCCTCATTACGGACAGAGGGTGTGGTGGCGGGTGTAGGTGTGAATGTGGGTGTGGGTCTTGCAGTCGATTAACTCCACACCCAAACTTGCACCCACAGCCATTCGCACCCACATCCACATCCACACCCATACTCACACCCATACTTCACACCCCACACCCACACACCACACCCCACACACCCCACACACCCCACACACCCACACCCACTCACACCACACCCACACCCATACCCAAACCCCACACCCACACCCGACACCCGACACCCACACACCCACACCACACCCACACACCCACACCCTAGCAGCTTCGCCTATTTTTGATCACCTGTAAATACAAGATGATGATTTTCACTGGCTAATTTTTTCACTCTTTAATGAAACGAGCATTTGTATTATGAGATGGATATTCATTTTGTAGATCGATATCTGTAACAACACGAAATGTATCTTAGTTCTTTCAACGTTGTCTAAAAGATGATGAGAAGAAATGAAAGAAGCACTTTCTGTTGATGATTTTGGAATAAAATATACATCTAAATTGAATGCTCTAGCTGCTGCATTTTCCATACGACTTTTATTTTCCCAATTTTCATTGAATATTCTATCGTCATCTCAT